TTTATTAAATATTATTTCTTAGCTTCTGTTAATTGCAACACCTAATATATGCCTACAATTATGATGTACAAAATTGAGAAATAATTTCTCATCTCAGTTGCCAAATCTTGAATTCGTGTTGCGTTCTCATGAAGCCACTTGGCATCGAGTACTTGAGAAATGAGAATCGAGAGTAAACAGTGGCCATCGATTGGAAAGCTCTCGAACCTAATTGTGGACCACATCGAACCATTGAACTTTTAAAAAGCAATCAAATTTGCGCCTAATGCGATCCCTTTGAGGCATTTTCCAAGTGCAGCGCATGGAACTTAATAGTCTTTTTATAGCTGCACTTTTTCAACTTCAATTTATGAAGTGTCGAGTTGTTAACACCAAAAACACAAGCGGTACTGGCTGTGCCCCGCCCCCGTCCCAGCTACCGCCCCAGCTTCGGGGCCTGCCTCGGGCGTTACGCTTCTATTTCCAAACATTTTGCCCACCAGCTACAAATGAGCCCCGAGACATGCTGGGAAAAGCCGAGCAGCTCTTGCTTGGAAAATGTAAACAAACAAATTAAAACGAGTCGAACGACAGCAGCCGCCGCCGCCGCCGCCGCCGCTGCCGCTGCAGCCTCTTTGGTCAGGTTCCGCGGCGTGGCCACCAGGTGAGAATTCGTCTGATGCTGCTGCAAGTATCTGGGAAGCCAGCAAAGCAAACACAAACAGCCCAAGACAGAAGCAGCCACAGCAGCCGCAGCAGTCAAAGTCAAAGCCACAGCAGAAGCTCTTTAATCTTCAGTTCTTGAGTTTCTGAAATGTCTGAAGTTATCTAATTGAATTGAGACATTAAATGGGCGGATTTTTGGAGACAACTTGTCGTGATCGGGCAGTTAAGTGAGCTTTAATTACACGTCGGGTCGATTTAAAACGAGACTGTGACGAAAACCAAATCTGGAACACGGCAATCAATCCTGAACTGCTCTAAAAAACAGTGCACAGTGGCTTGAGGTTAAGGTAGAGCAGTTAAAAGCTGAAAAAAAGTTTTGTTAGCTTTCAATTTGATGGAATCTAGAAGTTTATATAGGCAATAGATGATGGGATAGTTATAGAGCCATTTACAATTAATCTGAAATCTTTTGATGGAGGATTATGCCAAATGTATTATCTTTTGCATAATCGAGGGAATTGTCGCTTTAGCTAAGTGGAAGTAAGGTATTTAGTCTAGCCTTCCCCTATAATCTATATATATTAACTACATCCAAGTGGAACTTAATTTCACAAAGGGCATATTGCAAATTTGCTAAAGTGCATATATGTAAATCTTCTTTTGTACAACATAAGCCCATTGTAGAGTAGTTAGTTTTTGCTTTTACACTCTTGGTGTCAGGTTAATAGTTAACCTGACCGAAAATGACTGTGGGAAAAACAGTTGGAGCGTCAAATGATAAACCTGTTTGTCAATTAAACAAAAATATTGTAATAGTTGATAACAGAATGGGCAAACAGAGCCCAATGGAGAGTGGAGTGCGGAGGCAGTGAACAGCAGATGCCGCTGGTGATGAGAACTTCCCAGAACCAGAACCAGACACAGAACGCGAATGAGAATGAGAATGAGTGAATACAAGAAAACAACCTGTCAACCCAACTGGCTGGCTGGCGGGGCCCCCAAAAGGCTGGTGGGACCCTGGTTCGATGTGCTTGACGCCCGTCAGTTTCATTATCGCCTTGCCTTCAACTTTGGCTTGGACTGGAACATCGCCTCCATCCACCTTCGCCTGCGTGCTGCGGCCACTCTTGCCCGACCTGGCCTGGCCTGGTCGCCAGTCTTGGCTTATTGTTTAGTGAAGCATTTAACTTATAAATATTGTGTGTGGCAAGAAGAAAAGTGTTTTGTGTATGTGATACCGTTTTGAAATGTGCCAGCCACAGATACAGTCAGCTACAGCCCAGGCCAGACCATGGACAGCCGAGGAGCGGGTCTCAGACGCAACGCCGTGAAATATTTCCCATGACAATTCTGTTTGTTTTTCGTGTATTGTCTGCGCCGCCTGCCTTGGTCTTGGCACCTTACCGTCGCCACTTCTTTCACATCGTCGCCCACACGTTGTCCAGAGCGCTTGGTTCACAGGGTTTCCACCATGTTCGGCCAGATCCACAATGCCTGAGCACTCTCTATTTGCTTTATCTATGCTTGTGACGTTCCTGTGCCTGTGGATGCCCAGCCAGAAAACTTGTTAAAGCCCTTGAGGCTGCCCCAATGGGCATCCAAAGAGCTGCCTGGCTAAATGGTCACCCAAATGGCCACATGCCAGTGAATTTTGGCAGCCGTTTAGCACGAGTTGCTATCCCAAATATTCCAAGAACCAGTTTCAATTAAATGTATAAAAACATTTGCTCAATTTCGGAATACTCTCCCTTTCGTTCTATTTTGTTTGAAAAACCTCGCATAGCCCTAAACATTAAGAGCTGTTAGCTTAACATTGCTGTACAAATTAACAGTGGCATTTAAGCAGAAGCTCTTTAACATAACTGTTATCAAGGCTGAAAACCCAAAAAAACAGCATCCTTAACTCTAACAGCTGTTGGCTTAACATTCCTGTTAACATTAACAGCGGCAGTTAAGCAGCAGCACTTTTACATAGCTGTTAGTATTTTTACCAGGGCTGCAAACCCAAAAAATAATCATCTCCGCTTTTCAATTCAGCTCCTGAAGCTTAAGCCTTAGCATGCCAAATGCCGCAAATACAAGATGCGGGCTAGATCTGATATCTAGCCAAAACTGTCATCTGCAAAAATGGTTAGATAAAGCCAAAGTTATTAATACTTTGTGATTTTGAATCAAACTAAATATTGTTAGGGTCGATTTTCGATTAGTTTCAAGGCTCGGTTAATAGAGAAAATGAAATTGGGAACCAAGTTTAGACTGGTTCGGTCTAAGCCAGGGTTGCAGTCTTGATTTGTATACATTAAACAATAATTTTTTATTGTCAAGGTTTGAAAGCCAAATATGTATTTAAATTTAAAATATGGGTTACATGCTCTGTGACAAAGTTTGTATACAAGGCGTCGAAAGGGTATAATTATTAGCTACAAAACCACTCGGCGGGGTCAATGGAGTGCCGGCGAAATTCCATGGAATAAAAATATTCAGCGCTTCCAATTTGGCGTGCGATAATTATAATTGTATTGGAATCGGGCCGAATATCGTTTTAAAGGAACCGGCCCAAGCTGTCCGTACTATTGGGACACTGGTATCCAGTCCACCAGTTCAAGAACTCGTCGGGCTGGCGCGGATGTCGCGGCTGACGCAGCCGGCGACAGAGGGCACAGTAGGGCTGTCGGTTCTTATGAAGCCAATACTTGGCATGCCACTTGAAGAATTGCTCGTATTGCTGGGGCTCCTTCGACAACTGCTGCAAATACGCGGCCAGTTCCTTGGGTGAGCTGAAATCGGAGCTGCTTATGTAGGAGCCAGCCGGAACGAGGCTAACAAGATTGCCGCCACCGATCATGACGGGCACCACAAAATGTGACAGCGCCATGTAGAGCTGCGGATGCACATAATCCGGACAGCCGCTGGGGTCGAAGATCAACATGAACTTGTAGATTCCGCAACTGACAGAATGGAAGGCAGAAGCCGATTAGATCTAATTGAGTTCAATAAGTATTTCACACCTACTCTTGAGCGCCGTGACACTCCATGAGGGCATCCAGCTCGATGTGCTTGCGCAGCTCCTGCAGATAGAGGCTCTCCGGCAAAGTGTAATCGTTCACTTCGTAGATCATGTAGAACACCAGCGGGGATTTCGATCGAAGCTTTAAGCGAAGATCGGTGGCCTCCAGCTCTGACCGCTGTTTCCAGGAGCTGATCTCCTGAATCGTGGACGCTTGTTGCTTCTGCGGCGCCGTAAAATAGTAATCCGACCAGGGAATGTCCGAATCGAGACGATAAGTCATTGTCAAATTAAAGACAGATTCTCCATTCTCCAGCAGCGGATTGTGGGCCAGGCTCAACGGATTTTTGGATGCAAATACCGCCAGGAAATTTGGCGTGCGTCTAATCCGATCCAGGCCTTTGAAATTAAATGGTCGATCTGCATTGAAGACGATGGCATCAATGGTTCCAGCCTGATAATCACGATTTGTGGTCAACACACAGCCACATGGCAGATAATGCCACGTGTTCAACTCCATCTCGGCGTTCCATAGAAGTATAGCTCTCCCGACCGGTCGACCTTCCTTTTTCCCCATTCGAGGGCAACTGTTACCCACGCAATACATCAGCAACAAAACTACCGAGAGACTGATGACGCTCTTCAAAATATTCAAGTACAAAAAGTGTTTCGGCAGCTGTCTATTCCGGGGCAAAATCGCTGAGCGACTCGGCCCATCCGAACCTTTTGGGTCCTTAATGGAGGATGCGGTCAACTGCATTGCTTGCACTTTAAGCGACTGGGGCTGATTTTCCGATCCGAGTGGATTGCTAATAATTTTGTCAGCTGGCATTTTTACGAATTTTTTCGGAATACTACTCAAATATAGATCATATTTAAAATATATCTATAAATGCACAACAATGCCAACTCTGATTGGGATATATGTATAAAACTCTTGACTGACTGACTGACTGGCTGATTAAACCACTAACTGATTGATTGACTGACTGTCTAATTGGTGGTCACAGCTCAGAGCTTCCGAGCTAGAAATCTGAATTTTTCACCCTTTCAACTTTTTCACACACAAGTGTGGAAAATTGGTGGAAAGCATTTGCAGTTTGTTTTCTTCACCTCTCGATGGGCTTCAAATTTACTTCCTAAGCTCTACATAAGAAATAAAACAAACTCAAGAAAATTTCACCGGTTGCAGCAAATCCACTCCGCTACGTGGAAATTTCAGTTAGTGTGGGTGAATTTCGAATTTCACTCGTTCGTAAAATGGGTGGAATAATGTTAAAGTTTAGGGATGAAGCCGCAATAATATATAAACCCAACCTGACGAACCCTGATTTTGAAAGAAAGTCTCTTTGCACTCGTAAAACTATAGATTATATTTCTGATTTACGTGCCGCATAAACTGATTAAATTAAGTCTGGCAAAATAAAATCATCTATACAATTGGCATATACTTAGGTTAGTTAGTTCTACTCTACATAGATACATTGACTAAAATACTCGAAGAGTTTCCTTTTCTTGGGAAGACCCGATTTAGGGATTCGTTCCGATTAGAAATTCTCCGGGTTCCGGGCACTGGTAAATTGTCCACCATTGAAGGAACTCGTAAGGTGGGCGTTGTTGCTGCTCCTGTCGCAGCTGGTGACAGAGAGCGCAATAGGGAAGCTTTATTTGATGGATTTGATACTTGGAGTGCCACCAAAAGAACTGCTCGTACAGTTCCGGCCGTGAGGACAGCAACTTCAAGTGTTCGGTCAGTTCAAAAGGTGACAGGAAGTTGTCGGCGCTTATATAAGAGCCGGGAGGCACCACTTGGCTGAGATTGCCGCCACCAATCAGCACGGGCACCACAAAGTTGGCCAGCGCCATGTAGAACTGCGGATGCACATATTCCGGACAGCGGCTCGGCTCAAAGATCAGCATGAACCTGTACGGCAGGCATCTAGCCAAAGAGTATACTGATTAAATGTGAGACAGAGAGAGTGAGTTAAATATTTGTTACTCATTGGCTTCGTGGCAGGTCTCGATGACGCTCAGATCGATGTGCTTGCGCAGATGCTGCAGATAGAGGCTCTGCTGCATCGTGGAATTGTTCACCGGGTACATCATGTAGACCAGCAGACGCTGTTTGAGCTTCAATTTGAAGCGAAGATGGGCTGCCGCCGGTGCAGACATCTCTTTCAGGGATTTCTTGTGGGGCGCCGTAAACTTGTGCACCCGCTCCTCGATATTCTGCAACGTGGAGAAATAGTATTCTGTCCAGAGCACATTCGAGTCCAGGCGATAGGTCATCGAATAGTTGAAGACAGATTGACCGTGTAGACTTAACGGATTTTTGGCCAGACCCAGCGGCTTCTTGGCCGCAAAAACCACCAAGAAATTCGGGGTGCGCACGATCTTCTCCAGGCCGTCCACGTCGTAGGCTCGATCTGCATTGATAACGACCGCATCTACGGGTCTATCCGTGTAATTGCGATTGGGGGTCACCGTGCAGTGGCATTGATGATATCGCCACCAGCGCTCGTTGGAGCTCTCCTCGTTCCACAAAAGTATGGTTACGCTGCGCTTAAGTTTCACTTCTTTGACCACGTGATGCCGCGGCACAAAGAGCAGCAGCAGAAAAATGATCGTTAGGCAAACGATCCACTTCATTATCAAATTTCGACTCTTTGACAGTTGTCGAGTATTCAGCCGGGCCACAGCTGAGCGGCGCGGCGGCGGCAGAATCGCCAAATCAGAGTCTATGGAATAGTCGGAGTCATCATTCGGGCTCGCAAAGTTGGAATTGCGCTCCTCGCCGTTCTCCACCCGCTTCCGCGGCGCATTGTAGCGCTGTGGCTGATGGCGACTGCTAAGAATTTTGTCAATTGGCATTGCCGTGAACTCTATCGATTGGCTTTTCAAATTAATGTATATAGTTATATTTGAATGTTATTTGTTTTTGTTTGTGAGTTACTTGGCACGCTTACATCAATGGCAACTGTGATGGGTAGCTGAATCCATTGAAAATGGGCAAACAAGTGAATACGGGTTTTGTGCAAGTGGAGGAAGTAGAATCTCCGACCTCATAAAGTATATAAATTCCTGATCAGGACGACGAGCTATGCTGATGTAGGTAACAGGCAGAAAGAAGCATTTCCATCCCTATAAAGTGAATATATTCTTAGTCAGCATTAATAGTAGAGTCGATCTAGCCATGTCCGTCCGTCCGTCTGTCCGTCTGTCTGTCTGTCTGTCTGTCTGTCTGTCTGTCTGTCTGTCTGTCTGTCTGTCTGTCTGTCTGTGCGTCTGCTCACCAGTCCTTCTGTCCGTATGTATGAACACGTCCATCTAAGAACCTATAACATTTAGAGACTTGAAATGTTGTTTCGGATAATCGATAACTTTCCACCTTTCAAAGTAATAGCGATAGAAATCCATATCGAAATCTTGTTTTTTAAGGAAATTTCTTGGGTTTTAAGGGCTAGTCGCCAAGTTGAACATGTAGCTTCTATATACTAGTCTATATACAGATCAAGTATTTTTCTTTTTATGGCTATATCTCCTCACCTATTTAATAGGCAAAAAACTTCTAAGGCTTAGGCGATTGAAAACGTAGCCCAAGCCGCTTTTGGTGCTGGGAGAGGCAGCTCCAGGGTTTCCCCCAGTCGGGTTTTTTGCGCAAAACTCGAAGACTAGAAGAGCTTACTTCAACATACCACAAATGTAGGTTCCCGTAAGGTTATAAGTGTTATTCAACTTCTTGGATTCTTGGATTCCTCCCCAATTCCCCTAAAAATGATCAATATATCATTATTCAATACAGATCATTGGGTATTGCTAAAGTTGGGTGCCGTTTTTTGGCTCTAAAAATAAGAAACTGACAATGCTTTGCATTCAAAGACATTCTCGAATAGACTACTCTTACTCTTTCTTAAAGTGGTTTCCTTAAGCATTGCTTTGCATTCAAAGACATTCTCGAATAGACTACTCTTACTCTTTCTTAATGAGGTGCACTCAAACATTGTTGGACATTTGCGAATAGGCAATCTACAAGCCTACAACTTCGAAACGTGAAACCAACCACTTGCATTTTACATGTAAACATTTAACATATACATATTTACAGAATAATCAGACAGATAGAAACAGACAGAGACATCTGCAATCAATCATAAATTTAATTCCATTCCTCGATTTGCAATTGTAAAATAATCGATAAATGTGCCATTTATTGTCTCGATAGAAAAGGGTTTTAAGTTCTTGAAATCAGCCATAGCTGATTCCATAGAACACTTGTTCCTCTTGCTTCTTCCGTTTTGGCGCATTTCCGATTTGGCACTTACCACGAACACCAAGTTCCCCCGCCCGGCATTCAGGCAAACAGGAACCAAGTAATCAATCATTTTGGTTAAGCCGTCAGCAACACGACAATTTGGCCAAGTATTTGCGTACTTCGCACCGGTGCCAGAAACAGAGGAAACGCGCGCTCTGTCTCTCTCTCTCTATCTCTTTGCGTCTCTTTCCCTGTCTCTCTTTCTCTATTTCTCTTTCCATTGATGATATATCACTGCAATTTGAAATATTCATTTGGCAACTTTTGTCGCTGCTCATTTCAAATGCGGCACACAAACTCGCCAAGGATGTGGCACGATGGCTGCTGCTGGGCCACAGGCCGGAGCTGGTCATGAACGTGCCGATGGCACGATGACGGACTCTGAAAGCGACTTATATTTGAAATGTTTGTTGTTCTGCTCATTGTAACAGAGCCCGCTGCCACGCCCAGGCCGCCCAGAGGCGGAAGAGAATGGGCAGAGGCAAGCCTGCAATTTTCCAATTGACAAGCGATTAAATGTTACGTCTGCAACATGGAGAGAGGAGGGAGGGAGGGAGGGAGTGTGTGGGAGCTGTGGTAAGGATTGTGGCCTGCGATATTCGCATTGGCACGTAGCAACAGTTGCCATGCAAATTGCCAGCGCCAGCTTTATAAATTATGCGCCGTTTATGTGCGAAAGTGAAATGGAATTGCCGCAGAGCCCAGACGGGAACACAGTCAAGGTTTTCGACTGTAGGATCAGGGACAGACAGGTGGATGGATGAGGTGAGCTTGTGTAACTGCAGCTGGCAGAATCATATTAGAAGTGCGGGTGAAGCGGGGCGGCTAAGCCCAAACGAAACACATATAAATTTTAATTATTCCAACGAATTCCAAGCCAAAGGCAAAGGCTGTGGGCCAAGACACCAGCGAGAGAGAGAGAGAGAGAGGGACGTGTCGAAAACGAAGCGTGGCTAAACAAAAGATGCGATACGGTTGCAGTTGGAGCCTGGACCGGGACCTGGACCTGAACCTGAAACTGAAACTGGGCTGTAGCTGTAGCTTCTTTAAAGTCGCGAGTCGAAAAAGTCGGAGAATGGAATTGAAATTCCATTGTGAATTTTGGGGGCGTTGCCGCGTCGAAAAATGCAATAAATATGCATATGAGAGAGCGCTGAGAATTATGGCTCTGGCAAAAAACTAAAGATTTGAATAATTTGGTTCCCACACTCGGCTCCAGATCCGAACATCTCCAGCCAAATGGGGCCAATGATGGCGAGGCTACCACACAGACACTCATAATTTTAATTAAAGTTATTAATAGGCCTGCCAACTCGAGATTGAGTGTGATTTACCTTTCTTTTATTTTTGGCCACAGACTCGGTTTGGGCATATTCGGTTGTCCTTAAGCTGCCGGTCAATTAAATGCCGCACACATTGTTGGCAACTGCTTAATTATCGAGCGAGCGAACGAATCAAACAACATGCAACACAACAAAAGGACGCGCCGGCGGCACCTCAGAGACGCCGCACACAAAATTGGACTTGATTGCGCTGTCTTCGGCTTAAGAAGAAGCGCAACCGATATTCGGAATCGTATCGCAGTGAACGAATTAACATGTAATTATCGCAGCTTGCTCGGCCCTCAAATGGAACGCAACGAATTCCCGGGCGACACCCAAACCAAAAACAAACTCCGGCTTGTTACCGCAGCCCAGGATCAGGACGTCGCCTAGGCAGCTGGCACCGGGGCGTGTCTCAGTTCGATTCCCGATTCTCAATTCTCGTTTTTCGTTTCTTGTTGCCTCGACGACCACCCGCGCTTGTGGCGCTAAAGTTGTCAGTTCGTGGACCCTAATTAGGTGTTATCTAACTGACCTGGCCTATTGGTTAACTGCGGGGTTATTGATATGCGCCGACACGACAGAGAGAGGCTGTTTCCATTTGTGCTACTTAACTCATTTTCACTTCGTGTCTCTGTCTCCCTCTTTTTGTCTCTCACTTTCACTCGCTGATCATTTCCTGGCTCTTGCTCGGTTTTCTCATGATTCACCATGTCATCACACGCTTTATTTGGCGCCACTCTCGGCACTAAATCCACTGCTGACCCACAAAGCAACAATCAAATCTGAGCAACTAAGTGATTATCACTGCCCGGCACCGGGCATTGTCCACGCAGCTATTGTCATTATCAATGTAAGCCCCCCCCTTCCTTACCCTCCCAATTTCTCCGAGATGTTGTTGTTGAGGTTGTCTGTCATCCGCGTAAACAGTTTGATGATGGCAATCAAATAAAGTTGGCCCCGTTGGGCCAATTGCTCGGCTGCTCGGCTTTATTGTCACGATCAACGCAAATTCAACGCTGGCCTCCCCCAGCGGCCTCCCAGCGGCCTCCAAGTGGCCTCCCAGCGGGCGGCAACGATGACACATGCGCTTCCAGTGCCCGGATGCAGGCACTTGCCCGCCGCTGATTGATGCGCAGGCGGCAGACGTCGTTGCTCATTGCCCATTGCCCATTGCCCATTTCTCTGTCATGTAATGAGTTGTGCTTGTTGATATACGGAAAGGTTATGTAAACCAGGAATTCCGTTCGACATCTTACAGAATTTTAAAAAAATAACAGATTCTGTTTCTTAAATATTCCTTTATTAGCATTTTTCTTAAATTCTCCCCTTGATAATCTGTGAAATTCCAAATATATTCCTTAGTTTCTCAGTTCTACTCAAGTCTACTTATCGAATTTAGTTACTTTTTCATATTTTCTTATATTATCATATTATCATACTTATATACTTAATTCTGCTTAAGGAAATTCAGCTTCAATTCTCATATCCTCCTTTAGTTTCTCCCTGTTACTTCTTCTTAGTTTAACAGGGTTTCTTTTTGTTTTTACATCTCTCGATTTACTCTTTGCTACTTTGCATAGCTGCTTTAATTTACTTCTCCTCTTATAACTTATCCTTCTCGCTCTGTCTGAGTCTTCCCTCAATATGCTTTCACAAAGTTCAGCATAAAGAACATAGTCTTGTCACTTTAATAAAGTGTTCCTTAAATTAATTTCTACCTAATTTAACGCAGGTTCTTTTTTTGTTTAAGTACTTCTGCTATTGCTACTCGCTTCTCTCTTTTGCTTAGTTTAGCATATTTATTTGGCAAACTTATCTTCCGAGTTCCTGTTTTGTTTAATGTTTCAGTTATATTTACCATTCTCCGGCTTATATTTCTATTACTATTCCTGTTTGCTCCGTAATTTCTTGCCAGTCCGTTTCCTTTTCCCTGTCGTGTAGCATTTCTGTCATTCATCTTCTAGTTCCTTTTTTTTCAGCAGTCATGCATATTTCATTGTCCCTTGGCCCCATTCTTGAACTTCCACCCACTTTGCGCTGCACTCCCTAGGGGCGCTACCGTGACGACGAGACATGGACAATTATGTAAATATACAGAGGCGCCTGTTCCGGCACAGACGCCGGGGAATACAATGGAACAACCGCAATTATTGCCGTCCATTTGGCAAATGGATGCGTGACAAAGCGCAGAGAGAACCGAAAACATTCAGGAAAAAACAAACAAACGCAAGGACAGTGCCGAGGTCAGGACAATAGGCGTCGCAGCGGGAGTGGCAGCGAGGTCAAAGGTCAGCCGCGCTAATGTTGTGCTAATTGCGATTGGA